CAAACCAAATCTGCTGCTCCCAAGTGCTTCCAGGTCCGAAAAAGCACGAGCCCTGACACTTGTGCTAATGTGTAATAGTCATTTAATGAGAGGGGACGCTGCACATGGACGAGACAGCATTTGGGAAAGGAGGGGCCCTTCACTTGTAATAACTGTCATAGATATTAATAGTGCTGCTGATTTGGCAGTATGTATATAAACAATGAGTGTAAAAAGTGTGTTGCTATGGTAATCAGCACTCTCTCCTCTCTGGTGGAAAGCCAAGCTGAGCCAGAATCAGAACCAAAACCAGCCCAGGACCAGCGCCTTAAAACAAGAGCTCTCTCCCATTTGCAAGGCACGGTTGGGCAGTGGATAACACTTGAGCAAGAAGGTCCTGGGTTCGATTCCACTTCCAGGCCTTTGTGTGGAGTTTGCATGTTCTCCCTGTGTCTGTGTTGGTTTCCTCCAGGTGCTCCGGTTACCCCTGGTACTAAAAACATGTACGTATGTATAGTGACCCCACTCTCATCTCTGTGTGGATTGGGAGACAAATTCCCTCAACAATTGTAAATCGATTTATGACTTTGGTCTGTGAACGGCGGTGTTTGATTAAAGATTACTTACTTAGAAAGGAAACAACTGAAAATGGCTACAATTGAATTTTAGTTATAGGTAAAGAACTTCTCACGTTTCAAAAATAAAAGATCATATCATAGAAATAATTATACAGAACTGAACTAACATAGATCATGGAAAAGTCACAAAGTTATGAAGAAGTTGAGTGATTACACTTCCAAAACTAAAAGCCGTGAAATTGACTGCTCTGGGAGTTCTAGTGTTAAAGCTGGGGTACCTTACTTTCAGACCACAAATAATGGGTTTATGTATTAAAATCCCTGTCCCTGGCTTCTGTCACATCTTCTGATCAGCTTTATTCAAACAGAAAAGTGAAAAAAGAGAACTCCCTCACAACCAAACAGCTCAGCCCGAATCATCAAAGCTCACATGGCTCTATCTTACAAGTATGCAAAAGTTTTCTAATACAATAAAGAAAGCTTTCACAACATTCTACTAGGACAAGACAAAAACAAGACAGAACAGATTTAGTAAAAAACATTGATCCAAACACACCATCCGAGCTTTCAGGGACTGATTTGCTGTGAGGTGAAAGTGCTTCTCATCCAGCCACTTTGTGAGGAATACAGGGGCTCACAGTAAAAAAAGATATATCTGTAATAATAAATGATGATGAATAATAAGTTTGATACATACATTCCAAGCAAAAATATCTTTATGTGAAAACATCAAGAAGCGGGTAACGGACCCCGTTACAGAAGTTAACCCCGAAACATCAAGGAATCGTAATGAGGTGATGGTGGAAGTATTAAAGACACATGTCACCTCAAACAGCCACATGCTTTGACTTTAGTTATCTATCTTTGCACCTCAGTTTGATAAACGAGCTGCTCAGTGAAAGGGCATGGGCACGATACTTGCGACTCGCTAAGACTAAAATTAACCTCCACAGCTGGCTCCCATTAGGCTGTATCAACACAGTCTGTGGGTCTCCTCTGTCTCCACGGAAACGCCATGTTTAACCTGGCCACGCTGCCACGCTGGGCCTGGCACCGCTATGACAAAATATCCAATTGGGATTTTTAAGACAAATACTGCCATTAGATTTGCTAATTTAGAACAGTATCCATCCGGTGAAATGACCAGAAGACATGTTTGCTTGATTTTTTTTCTTGTTTTATTTTAAATTTTATTAAAGATTAAACACCCAACTTTCTGACCAGAACTATTGAATCCATAAAATCCAACTGGTTCTGGTTCTTCTGGTTCTTCCCTCTAAAAACAGTTTGGTTTTACCATCAGTCTTCACATACATGTATTTCTGGCCTCAGTTACATCTTTTGATCATCATTTTCAGACAGAAAAGAGAAACAGAGAAGACCACCCTTACCCTCATCATCTCTAATCTCGCCTAATAGTATTTTCTAAGTATGTAAAAACTAAAATGTTTTCTAATAACATGAAGACAGCATGTGGTGGTCTGAATTGTTGGGACAAACTAAATGCATTAACCCCAGCTTTAAACATTATTTTATTTACATGAATCACACTCATAATAGCCATTCAAAAAGTAAGTGTGTGTTTGCTGTGTTTACTTGATCTGAACTGATTTGATTTAAAACTATTTGACTTTTCACTTTAAACATGAAAACCACCATTTGCACACGCTTGTTACGGAAGCAAATTTTATTTGTATAATTCTTTTGCTACAGTCATTTCCTTATGAATCAAGTTTGTAACTACACTGCAATTTCTCTATAATACAACTGGATATTTGGTGGTTTGAAAAAGGATTTAAATCGGTGCAATAATTGTTATATTTAAATTTCCATTTCCTTGCCTCGGATCTCTCGGTGGATTTGAGGAAGAGAGGCGGGAAAAGCGCGAGGAGTTACCCAGGGGGAGGGGAGTCTGCGGTGGGGGTCCGGAGAGAAGGCAAAACACAGAGGATGGAAAGAGCCGTGCGAGAGCCAATGAGGAGGAGACGTGTGCCGCGAATGGTCATAAAATATCCCTCAAAAATAATAAACACAGGAAGAGCCGGGGAGCTGAAAGAATGAGAATATGAAACGAAAAAACAGCTTAGTCGGATTTTTACCGTCTTCAGCGTTCGCACTCAGGTTAAAGTTACACCGGGCTTTTAAACACATGACTAAACTTTTACTATCGTTACTTTGTGCCCACGTGTGCCTTTTAGGTTATAATAGTGATCCCCACATCATTCTGCTGCTCAAAATATTTTGTCTCTACATTATATTTACCAAAGTGGAAGGATTGTTGCTACCATGACGTTTTAACCGTCAGAATTTTACGTTTTAGTCCAATATGTCCAGGGGCTACAGGTGGACACTAAAACCTGACACTATATCATTTTCTTTTGATAAGATGTTTATTTTCCGTTGTCTCTCATCAACTAAATAAAATTCAATAAAACTAAATGTGAAAAGAGTAAAAAATGTGGGTGCTGCTTGAGAATGGATATGAAGCAATGATCAAGGATAAAGTCTAGGAACTTAGGGAAGCAGGTCAAAACAGAGCTAAACCCAAACTAAAAACTGTGATGGGAGATGAAGCGATGCATCAAAGGGAAGAGGAAGCTTATGTAAAAAGTCCTTTATCCAAAACATGGACTCCATCGGCTACGCGTTTCAACGTGCGTCTTCTTCAGGGCAAAATTACTCAAGTCCATGCCCTGCTCTTTTGTGATTTTGATTTATCATCTATCTCTGCTGTTTATTTTCTCAGCACAGGCCTTTTAACTCTATATGGTTGAAGTGAAATATCATACTGGGATTACCCGGCAGCATTGTACGGTGGCAAATGTTCTGATCATCCATCACAAGGAGCATAGGTGTCAGATAAATATCAAAGCGCATAAAACAGGTCTACTATACAGTAAATATGTGAGTGTTTTCTCGACGTTTGAATAAAATAATCAACAGCTAAAGAAATAGGAACGCAGATACGCAGACTCAAGACCTAACCTCGTCCAAGTTGTCAGATTTCTTTATGAAAGCATCAGTGCCAGCTTCTAACAGTAAACCACAATCTGTACCGGGAATGGAAATGAATATTGCATAAAAGCCCGGACTGAAACCCTACACTTCTGGTTGGAGCGGCACTCTAAAAGCATGTGTGTGATTGCAGATAACCCTGTCGCCTCTGTGCTATGATTTGACTTATTGTGATCAAAAGACAGAGACAATGACGCCCGCCAGCAGCTATCAAGAGTCCTGAAGCAGTTCTGAGTGTGGGAGGCTTTACATTGACGACTTCTAGCCTCATTAAAACTTCATAGATGTGAGAGCAGACAAAGAAGGGGGTATCATCTTACATCCATACACACTGTCTATGTCCCGGCTCCAACACACACTGCAGCGTGTCTTTGTCAAACATTCACAAAACGCCTATCAACAGTAGTCCCCAGCTAAAACTATCGGGCCACTTGTGTTAAATAATTAAGAGTGTGAGATGAGGCCGTCAGCCCCAGGCCATAAAGGTCCATCGATTTCCCAGAATGCATTTTTAATGAGCCGTCAGCAGGCATTCGTTTCAGCTGACCAGTGTCCGTGGATGACACACACACACACACACACACACACACACACACAGGCCAAAGTTTAGCGCCAGGGGAGACAATTAGCATGCACAAACACCTCTGGACTCTGGAAAGCCCCCATCAAAACAAAACATTTTCTTATTTTCTTCCTTGCAGTCCATGCATGATGCTGGCTGTACAGATTGTGTTTACCTTATTTACATCGGAAGCATTTTAATATAGACTACATCACAGACATTTTATATCACGCTTTACTTCCATTATCGATAAACATAAGCAGCTACAGTCCATCCGGCCGAGTGGGCAAACGAAGGAGCCGTAACTGCAATGAGAGCTGCAACGGTTTTGGCAAAATATCTAAATGTTTCAATGATTTCAGACAAGCATTGTGATCCTGATGCAATTTTTGATATCCTACATGTTTAAAGAATTGAATATTGTATCATTCAGTATTGCATTGGAAAATATTGACCATTCTTTCCTTCACTCACGATTTTAATTAACTTCAAACCCATGTAAGGCATCTTGCTGATTTGTTTCCCATATTGGCTCAGAATTTATATTTGTAATCTGTGTACAACTTAGTTATTTTATTTGATTCGTCCAAATGGATCTTAATCATCTTTTTGAACTGTAAATGAGGTTTTTTTCCCAGCTATAGTCATTTACAGTAATTAGGGTAAAAGCATTTTAAACATTGAAACTCAGAATAGGCCGCCAGAATAAGTTCTTCCTCTTCAGAGTGAGGCCGTCGATGATCAGCAACGGAATGTGTCACAAAGCAACGAAAGAGGAACAGAAATAGTGAAGATAGTTACGACACTCACGTCACATAAGGTTGTTAGACGTGTGGGTGCCAGTGGGTGTCATGTGGGTGTCCTACCTTCCCCGTCTCGCGCTCGAAGTCCACATACTCTCTGGTTGGAACCTGCCTCTGGTCTCCGAGCAAATTGGCCGGAAAAAACTGCAGGGAAAGGTTGGTACCGGTCGCGACGAAGGCCTGTGCGCAGAGAATAACAGATATTGTTTTATATCAATTTTCAATAAAAGGATTGCCTCGAGAACTCATGGAGGTAAAGTTGTTTTAAAAATATAAAAATAAGCTTCAAGACTGTAATAATTTCATTGGATTCAACACCAAAATCCGAAGAACAAAATGATAAATGATGATTGATTGACGATGTCCATAATTTGTATTTGTTTTGTGTATAGACTTTAGTAAATATTATGCAATGCACCGTGAGTAGAACCGTGTAAACATTCTCACCGACGCTACAATCGCTCTCAGGCTCAGCACAATCAACAACACTGGATCACTTTTGTCATTTTGATCCAAGCCAAAATGTCAAGGTTCAGTCTGACCACTTACTAGATATAAAGGCCAGACATTGTTCTAGAAACGCTTAAAACCATAACTTAAAGTAACCACTCAGTATACCGCCACCAAGACTCCAAGATCTCCAAGTAGAGAGAAAATCTTCTTTGTGCAACTCTGAGGTTGTTGGATTTAGCCCAGAGACATTTCCCACAAGACGAAACACAAGGTTGGTCCATGAAAATGAGACAAAACAAGATTTGGACACAATGTTATCAGTAAGTAAGTAAGTAAGTAAGTAATCTTTATTTATATACCGCCTTTTCACTGCACATCGGAGTCTCAAAGCGGTTTACAATTGTTATTTTTTGGGAGTGGGGGTGCCAGTACAGGAGGCACATGCCAGACCTATTGTACATATCTTTAGTGGTAGGGGAAACCGGAGCACCCGGAGGAAACCTACGCAGACACAGGGAGAACATGCAAACTCCACTCAGAAAGGCCCTGGTCCAACCGGGATTTGAACCCAGGACCTTCTTGCTGAGAGGCGAGAGTGCTATCCACTCAGCCACCGTGCGGCCTCAGTAATAAATAGATGGAGGTGGTTGAGTTAAAAAAAATGTATTCTCATTTATCAATCCAGATGAGCTATGCGGGTGTGTTGCATGTGATATTACATGACTGACATTAGTTTGGGTCAGTTTGTATTCGATAATTTTTCAAAGAACATGTATTTATTTTGCAAAGGCTAGATATTAACAACAGAACAGGGGTAAATATGATATATACAACACAATATATTGTCGACTATATATCGACACAGATGCCATTCACAGAGATTCACACCTAAGTCATCAGGACTTATGTATTTTAGAACCTCTCACAAAGTTGGGAGCCACGGTTTTAGGACTTTTGGACCGTCCTTTTTGCTATAACTCTTATACATTTTTTTTCTTCTAATTTGCACATGTGCCAATGCTCAATAAATGCTTGATTTTGGTAAACTTTTGTGAGTGACTGAGAGGACTGTGACAATCCTGGATACAATGGAAGAAACCAAAACATATTTTTCTTACAATGACAATAGCGTGATGCAGCTACAAATTATGCCATGGGAATGTTTGTTTGCCTTGCCTAATGTCAGGGCTATGCTCACACTGCCACAATATGTGACATCATTCTTGTTTGTGCAAATGGACAATGAGCACTAATGGAGATGGCAGAGTACAAATGCTCAAAGTGACGTATCACCATTAAACCGTGCATCGCACTGCAAGAGAACATCATGTTAGAAAAGTAATGTTTTTATTTTCAGTATGCGGTGGTGGAGGGAGGTCTCCGTCTGCGACTGATCAATACTAAAGGCATTAGAGCTGGCAGGACATGAATGATGCACCCTGTCCAATGTGGCCCTTATCAAAGACAAACCTAGACGGACAAAATGAAAATGAAAAAGAAATTAAAGGGCCCCCAGTCAATCATTCAAGCAGAATTGTGAAGTATTGGATTACAAACATCTGATATTCATATACTGCCTATAGCCGTGCTGAGGAGAATGTAAAGAGTTCAGCATCGCGGAGATAGAAGAACAAGAGGAGAGGAAATCAAATAAAACATTGGAAAGAGGAGAGAAAGCAGCGCGCCATAAAAATCAATAGTAGTTTAGCTGCGACTCATCTCTAATGAGCTGAGCGGGAGATAATTTACTTTGAATTATTGTCCCATTTATCAGATCAATCCTGGACATTTGGGGTCGTCCGGTGAGACAAAACACTTGCAGCGGATAAACAAAAGAGTGTGTGTGGAGGAATTCTGGGAAATGCAGTTCTAACATTGAATGGTTTAGAGACGTTTATAGATAACTATGGAATAAGGTGAGGGAAGGTGATAAGCCTGTGTCCATCTCCTATATATACAGTAGAATGAAATAGAAAAACAACATGACGTGAGACAGCAGTTACTTCAATCAGCATTTAATTGATTGATTTGACTTTTGTTAGGAATGAATGAAAATGACAACTGGTTCACATTGCATGATTCTGTCACTTGGGACTTCAATTCTCTTCTTTTGAGCAGCAGCTAACAATTATTTTGCAAAGTACTTATTCTGTCTTTTTTATTTGAATAATATTTGTTTTGTTTTTAAATGCATATATGTATGAGGTTTATTTTAATTCAAAACATTGGTTTCTGCTTTAAGACATTTTACTTGAGGATATTTGCAGACAAATGCATCTTTGCCCCAAAACCTATTGTGTATAGTTTATATCTTAAGGACCATTTAGCAAGGAATTCATAAATTAGGGAGTTGGTAAAATCATAATTTGTAACAATTAATCCATTAACTTGTTCTCGCTCTAACTGAACTCTCACCAAGGCCTATGTCCCAAAGACGGTATATAGATAAACAATGCTAGCTCAAACAAGTAATAAGGGCATGTGTAATAAGTGCTCATGGGCAAAGTTTTGCTCTAACTCCCTCTGGTTCCTAAAGACTTACATTGAAACGTAAACTCCTCTTGATCAGTGACCGATATTGTCAAACCATGTCACCATTTAGGGCTTACAAACTTGAGCGCTTTTCTATAATCCTGTTGTTTACATATTGTAAATCCAGCTATGAGCCATCTAAGGATTGACCAATCAGATGCCTTCATTCATTTGGGAAACTCCAGCTTGCCTTGCTGTCACCGTAACAACACGTCGGTTACGGCACAAAGCTATTGTCGTTGGCACAAATATTCATATCAGGAAATTAGCTCCTGTTAGCTTACGTTCAAATCAGTTTCTTCCGTATGTGCAAACACTGCGGTGACGTCTGTCCCAAGATAATGTCAAAAACACCTCACATGTGACTGCTCTTCTCTGTGGGAGTTTCTGTGCCAGGCGCCTCCGGGCTTTTGTCCTAACTTTTGTTAACGAGGTCATCTATGTTCTGCCACACTGCTGACTTTACACAATCAATAATTACACTAAAACAGAATGTGTTCAAACCTGTTCTATCGTCATTATCGGTTTAAATTTACAAAAGCATGAGGACACACGTGCTAAGATACCTGCAGTCGGTGTTATTGATTAAAACATATGTCTTCTGTAAACGTCTGACAATATTCATTTGTTTCAGCAATCACAAAACCAGAATCTGCTAAAGACTATAAGCCCAATTTATCAGAAACTTACCATGAACTAGCAAATTAAAATCATCCTTCCTTTTTTCTTGCTGATCAAACAGTATACAGTATTTCAAGAGCTTTTAACCCTTTTTATATTTGATGTATCTTCTTTCTTCTTTATCTTGTCTTTTGTTTGCTGTATTTAATTCTAATACATAGCATTTTGGGGTTTCATGGAAATGTCAGGTGCATTATAATTTTTTTTTATTATTGTTATTAGAAGCCAACCATTAATCTTCTTCAAGTTTTCCCCCCAATATGACTTCAATAAAAAATCCATACCCCCATTATGGACCAATGTGTTTGAACGGTTTGATTCTCTGTTATGCGTTGGCGAATTCAACAGAGAAAAATACTGTTTTAATTTAGGGCTATACAAGAATACGTTGAATTGAATTGAATTATAAAAGGAGTAGAATACTTTTTACAGATTACAATCCAGGAGAGTACAACCCAGTCTGATATGATTCATAATCTCCTTGAGGATCCAATTGTTGTTAAACTTGGCTACAGCGGTTATCCATAAGAGTTTCTAAGTGGGAGAGAAATGGGATGTACGGTTGGGAAATGTTATGAATCATAAATTAATCTGGTCATTGCTCTGAAACTCTACCTTAGACTATGTTTAACTGTGTGAAAAGAGTCTAAACTGGCATCGATAACGTCAGGGCAAAAGCAGGTCGTGCTATGTGCTATTGTATATTCACATTCAGCTATATATCTCTTAGAGGGCATAGTCCACAACGACATTAGACATAACAGGTGATGTTTATTTTAAGCGACCAATTTTAGGATATAAATTACTGCCCTGTCTGTGTTTGTGAGGTGTGAGCTCATGCAAATAAAGCGCGCAGACAATGATGACAACGGTAGAAAATACAGGAGGAGGAAGGCTCTGCGGGGCTGATAACACGGCTGCTTCCTGACGGGACCAGGGAAACACAATGGCTTTAACTGAAGAAAGTTTCTCAGAATGACAACAGAACTCCACCATGTGTTTTTTTGTGTGTCGTGTGTGAGTGTGGGTTTACTTTACTCACAATTTCTGAACGTCCGTCTCTGCATGCGTTCTGGAAGCGGGCTTGCCTCTCTTCATGGGGCCGATCTCTGAAGCCGGTGTATTTGATCTGAGCACAAGTCACGTCCATGACTGTTATTATTCACATGATTTGAGTTACATGCATTTTGCAGGTTTTAATAGTCTATTTACAGTATAGTGTGTAACCAGGTACTTTGAGTTGAGTTCAATGTACATCAAACTCATCCAATACCAGTAGTATATCTTCATTAACAATTACCTATTACAATATTGTACATGTTTACGATCAGTAAGCATATAACTACAATTGCTTGAGTCCACCATAACAGAAGCATCTGCTAAAACTAGTACCAAAATTAAAAACATTATTACTTTTTTCCCAGGATGAGACGTTGCCCATAAACTTGAGAGTCGTGATGCTCAGTCACAGAGATAAGCCACAGGAATTTTGATTTGAGCCAACGTGACCGTCAAAACAACTGACAAGGATGTACCAGACAATTTTATCATCGCAACCAATATCAGTAAGAGTCTATACAACTGAATTATGTAAGATGTTATTGAGCACATCTGATATTAACATTGTGTACAGGCCTTGAATTGTTTAAAGACAGAAAACAAGCTCTTTCATTGATTTTATTTTCTACTTAACAGGTATAGAGAGATAAAAGCAAAAGTTGCAGAGAAAGCAGGAACGAGCTGGAAATTTAAAGCATATAGTTTGAGTTTATTTTCTTTCTTAAGTAATTTCACAGAGGTTGATTGAGTACTGTTCATCTTGTTTAGTGCGTAAATCCTTCACAGCTCTGTCCTGTGCGTCTATAGCAACACTGAAATGTATGTGAGACGAATGAAGGTCTTGTTATTTCATCCTAATAAATTACATCGCAACTTTCTTCATGTGAAATATTGTCGTTTAAAATTAAACAGTGTTCTGTGATTGGTACCAACTCAGTCATAAACAAGAGGTGACTGTAGAGAAACTGCTACATCACTACTCTTTGTTCCCTCCTGGTCCTGGATGACTTCAAAAAGAGTGCGTAAAACCGGGTCCCAGTGCGTAAAATCATCCAAAGAGGCGCGTGTAGTGTCTGGCGCGGCTGCCTGTTTGAACAATGTGTGTGTCTGTCTATGCGTGTGTGTATGTGTGTGTGTGTGTATGTGTGTGTGTGTGTGTGTGTGAGCGTATGTATGTGTGTGTATGAGAGGCGCTTCACTCACCTCGCACTCTCGGCTCAACTTGCGGAAAAACTCCTCGTTCTCAAACTTGCTCCTCTGGTCCGGGACAACCCGCGGCATCTTGTCCCACTTCACGGCCTTTCCCCCGGGTCTCCAAGCACGGATCAGTCAGAGAAAAGTTTCCGTCGGTGACTCAGAGGAGCTCTCTTCTTCCTTCCGCGTGTCTCCTCTTCCTCCTTCACTGCTTGTGTGTCTGTGTATGTGTGTGTGTTTTTTCAGTTTGACTCGACCCTCGCGGCTTGTGCAGTGTGAGTGCGCGCACGGTGTTTATTAAATGGCCCTATCCTCTCTGAAGATATTGTGGCTCTCCCCCAGCACCTCCCCTCCCTCCTCACTCGCTCCAGCCCACAGGTTTTTTTCTCCACCTACTGCATCCCGCGTTTACCTGCAACTTTCAAAGAGCTGCTGCTGCGCCACCATCCACTAGAGGTGTGCGTAATAAGCCGTGAACAATAGACGAACAACTTAAAACGTATTTGTCCCCACCCAGCTTTGTACAGCATAAACTATTAATCCGGGCTGTTTAAAGTAATTAACGCGAGGATCAACATAATGTATATGCTTAGCAGATTAGCTCCATATACTATTGATTAATAGACAATTAATTTTAAGTCAAAACTGATATAAACCTTGGGGAACAGAATATTTATTCTGTGCGTATTTTAGTGGAGCTATATTTGTAATAACTCTAATATTCAGGGAAGTAAAATACGACACATATTTCTTCTACATTTCGCTTTTGAGTTCATCCATATTCTAAAGTTCACAGTCAAAAGTACGATGGTTTTGCGCGGACTTGAAGGCAGCAGCAGTCTACTTCCTGGCTCCGTGGAGTCGCACTTCTGACTGTACTCTCAAAATACCAGCCTCCTCTCGGCCATGAGCCCCGGCGCCCCCATTCACAATCATAATACTATCACACACACACTGAACACGCACACACACGCACTAACTTACAGCGCATGCGCCTCTGCCAGACCGCAGAAACTTTATAGGATCCTTATGTGAGAAGCAGGAGCACAGGCGATGCGTTTGTACGTCTGGGAATAGGAGGGGGAAAAAGCACATGTCAGGCTGGATTTTTGAATTTAAAGCTGGGGTACCTAACTTCCTCCCGGATAAATAATACATTTTGTTTTTCCATGTTCGATTTGTACACATCTGTTGTCTTAACGTAAAACGAAAACATTTAGTCTTTTGCCGAAAGAGCGTTTTAGTATCTTGTTGATGCTTTGGGCTGAGAGCTGATTGTCTTTCTTTTTGACTTTTTTGTCTGAAAAAACTGCTTTATAGAAGTAACAGTGGCCAAAAATGCACATATACTGTATGTATCCATTTCTACAGTCAATGGGTCCATGTACAGTATATCCCAATATGAATTCCAAATGAATAAACTTCTTATTAACCCATATTCACATACTGCACATGTAAAAATGCTTAAACCTCATGAGGCACTTAAAACATCCTTATTACACAAATATTATTAAGATTATAACCCATGCACAAAAATATAGTGATGTCTTGTTAATGCACATGAATACAGCTATTGAAAGTCTTAGGAAATGTCTTATTGGAAACAAATACATAATAATAAACACTAAAGTTATGCCAAACCACTCAAAAAGCTGACCCTCATTCACGTGTACCCTCAAATTCAGTGTAGCCATCTTTTCTCCATATATCTTAATTTACAGTGAACAAGACCTAATCTCGAGTCACAACAGGTCAGATGAGAGTGTCTATAGCATGAAGATGTAAACATGTTTATGACATTGTTGTAAGAAATTGTCCATTGTTGACTCGTTATAGTAAGTTTTAGTTGAGGCTTACAATAAGTTAGGGTTTGTGTATTAACCCTTTAAGCGCCAAAGTCGCAATATTGCGACAAGCAACATTGCTCACTTAAACAGGCTGTATGTAAAAATGTGGTGCAGAATCTTGTTAATACTTTTCACCAGGGGTTAGTGGACATGTGTGCCTGTAATATGAGCAACATTTGTGGGTGTGGTTATATTGAAAGTTTTTGAGTAAATTGAGTTCGTAAAACACCTGCGGCGCTGCAGCGCGGAGGCGAAGTAGCAGCAGTAGAGCTGAGGAGCGAGAGCAGAACAGAGGGAAAGAGTGTTTTTATTTACTCACGAGGTCTTCAGTACCAGAGAAGTACTTGGTCTGGTACTGGCTCACTCAGATTCAGAGGAGGAAGACACGCAGGTGTCCAGTGAAGCAGACACGGACATTATTGGTGACGGGGAGACCGCGCTCCATAGTCCACAATCAGCCCCTGTACAGCGGCTGCTTGTCCTCCGTGTGGCCGCGGTAGAAGCATTCTGTGAACGCCAAGCAGGGGCTGGGGTCGAGGGGACAGGGGGATCATAACACCGGGCATGTGGGAGAAAGTAGCGGGGGTAAACATCCACGGGGAAGACGGGAGACGCGGGAGAAGTCGCGTGGGAGCCGCGGGAATAAAAACACATCGCTTTTTGCGTTCACTGCCTTTACCAACAGTGATGATGAGGATCAAGGCAGTTCTTGAGAGAAAATAATCCACAAAAGTGGATCAGAAGTGTTGAAGAGTCTGTTGTTTCTTGTTGAGATGATCTGACATGTTCTGAGCCCATTCATTTCATCTCTCTGTTTCTAAACCATAAATCCAGGAGCCTCATTTCCACCGAGAAAAATAGTAAGCCCACCACTTCTTTGAAAGGGAAATATTGAAACCAAACTCCAGATTTCATGACTGTAAACTATAAAGAGAGCTGTCTTGATCACTGAAGGTCTTTGAAAATAATACAATTCCGTATGGCCGCGAACCAGTGCTAAAACATTATCTATAATCTGGATCAGGGAATTTATTTCTATCCCAAATTCATTTCATACTAAAGATATTTCACACTGACTGTTTATAGTATTCCCTGATCTAAAAAAAACTCCCAAACTACAGCTTTTTGAAGTTTTTATACAATAATTAACATTTTCCAAAATGGCCGCCACCTTGATGACGTCACAATATGCAAATTAGATGACGAATCAACTTCCATCCCAAAGTTTGGTTCAAACTGAAGATATTTCTAATTTACAGTATGCCTTTATCTCAAACCATTTTAAAGTTATAGCCTTTTGAAATCTTGAAATCAAAATTGTATATTTTCTTGAAAAAACTCTGGCGCCTAAAGGGTTAAACCATTAGAAAGTCAGCACAATATAAATCAGATATAATTCCGCTTTCGCCATATCGTTGGCTCACACGTGAAGAATCTTAACCAGACATTTGAGTAATTGCAACATAATGAAGAATTATTGTTTGATTATGCAATGACCACACCCACATTCTCCCATAGACACAGAGAGAGACACACACAAAGTGAACACAGTGTAAACAGCAGGAGATCGCTGTTCCCTGAGGAGTTTCATAATATTCCACAGACTTGTTAATTAAACTGAGATGCAGCCGGAGCCGTGGGTTCAAAGCCTCCGCTGCTCGTCTGTCCCGACATGTTGGTTGTTTGTTTGTGAAGAGAATCCCATGTGACGACTGTAAATCCATGACCTTTTCCTGTAATGATGTGAGGATGTAAAATAACCAACGTTGCCTCTCGAGCATTTTCACTGCTCTGTCTGACAACCTCATCAAAAATACAGTGGAATCCCCAAAAAAATCCACGCATTTGAAAACTAGATAGAACCAAAGTGTTTTGAGAGCAAAACATTTTATTTTTTGTGGTTTGAAAGTTAGTACCTCAGCTTTAGGTGTAAGTATTCTGCCATATTCTTAAATGTTCATTTGCAAACCGTCCCAGAACTAAATAGATAACCCTTTTGAACCAGGTACAAGTTTGTTTAGTCTGTTATATTGATACATGTAAAAATATGTAATGTACAGGTTCAAAATAAATGTATTGAAAAGAAATAAACAAACTAAAGAGATAAAACTTGTGTCATGCCATCAGTGTTTAGTATTTGTGACAGCCGTGTGTTCCCTCAATCCCGCTGACTGAAAAAAAGGCTAAACGCTTGCAACATTCAAGCATTATGGGAGCAGCAGTGGGGCCTCGGGCTACAGCATATGCTCCCAGTGGTGCCCTGAATACACCGCTGGTCCCGGGACAGCGTGTCATTGATTTGTCCTTAAACCAGCCCCTTCCACTGGCCCCGGGACACAACAGCCCCCACCACTGTGACTCTGTGAGGAGGCTCCTGTGGCAGAGGCTGAGGGCCAAACACGGAGCAAGAACAACACGCACCATGACGCACTCCAAGGTTCATTTATTAATCAGACAATCTGTGGTTTCAGCTCCGACACGCAGCTCTCGTCTGTTCACACACACTAGAGAAGTTGTGTTCTCGGCCAAACCGGCGTTTACTCTTCAAAGGTTTTGCCACACACAACGATAAAAATCAGTAATCAGATTGTTGTGATGAGATGAGACATATTATCAAGTAAAATTATCATTCCTTGGCTCTCTGACTCATAGTAATCACAAAAACACCAGCATTCTAAAGAAAAAAATTAGAATACACACATGACAATTTCCCCACTGAGAAAGGAATAAAGGTTGACTTACCACCTCAACGTAATAATATAAAGCCTCTTCATAAAACCAGCACCAGTGATTTTCTGGAGGAGAATGGTTAGACCAACGGGGAGCGAGCGTTTGAATTCAGTCCAATCAGAAAGTATAAAGACTGAGATTGGGCGGGTCTAACTGGTGCTTGAGTAAGAAAAAAGTCTCTCCATACAGTATTAGGTGACATTCACTCAAAAATATATAGAAGGATTTTCCAAAATCTTAGGGAAGAACCGCCCTTTCCACGTTTTGAACAAAACTTTCTGGTCTTATTTGACAAGCACGTCTCACCAGAATGATTGACAGTTGGTGATCCACCCGGAAATAGAAGTATGTATGTATTGTATGTATGTGTATGTATGTATTTATGCATGTGTATGTATGTATTTATGTATATATGTGTGTGTGTGTGCATGTATGTATGTGTATGTATGTATTAATGCATGTGTATGTATGTATTTATGTATATATGTGTGTGTATGTGTGTGTGTGTAT